TTGCACACCCTCTCAAAAAATAGAACACTTTTTAAAAATTATGAAACAATACTAATTAAATACTACACAGTTTCAGTACCTCACTAGTCAACCGTATTAGAAGAGCTGCAGCCTCTGAATATTTGCTTTGGCTTTTTAAGATTTCAGCACTAAGCAATACACATCTTTCAGCCAATACCATATTCCTAAAAAAAGACAAGAAAAATATAATTAGCACTATAGTGATATCTTAATACATCATAATAACCATCTGTTCAATAAAACGTTTCCGATTCTAATTTTTGAGTAAAAAAAAATCCATATCCTTGTTTTTCACTTACTAAAAAGGTTAAAAAAATACGACTTCTAAGAATTCTCCTAACTCATCAAAACTTTTTGTCATCATATAATTTTGCAGTAAGAATACAATGCAAAGTCCTATTTCCTGTATGCAAAAAGCTAGAACCTAACAAATTAACAAATAAAACTTGCTTTGAACAGAAAGCAATATAAACATTTCACTTGTATTTCTTTCCTCTTCTTCATTTCAAAATCTGGTTATGTGTTTTATTTTACTGGCTACTTTTAGGAATATTTAGGCATTTTCTCTTTAGTAGTACCATTGAGAAGTTTCATTAAAAGACAGCATGGGGTTGTCTGATTGATTCCTGAGTAAAATCTTCTTTGTGAGAAGACTATCAGTTGATTTTTCTTTGTGAACTACTACCATTAATAATCTAGAATTGGATTATTCATTCTTAAAAATAATAAAAATAAATGACAACAATTTCTTACTGTGAAATTATAAGATGGAACCCTTTTGTTGAGAAACATCAGCAAAGTTTCTCTCTTTTTTACTTTCTAATCCTTATATCAAAATACCACTTGACCTTAAAATTACAATAAAAAAATACTAACTTGAAAGTAATTCTGAAGAATATTTTTAAATTAAAATTTACTGCTTTCAAAACTTACAAAAAGTACTGTAGGTCTGCCATAAACTTTCTAAATGTCATGGTTTTTCTTAGAGGGTTAGTATTTATGAATATCTAAGAATGTTTTAATGAACATAAAAGACTAACTTGTATTACATATGCTCAGTTCTTAAAGAGTTTTCTTAAATAAACTTTATAAACTCTCTTAAATCTTTTGCTTAAAACTACTTTTCTACATATTTATATTTGACTCCTCACCTATTTCCCTATGTAGTCAGTTATTAAGTCAAAAGCATACTAAGTCCAGGACTTTATTAATTTGTTAATTCAAGCAACATTTTAAAAAATCATGTGTCAGGCAGTGAAAATGCTAAGGACTCAAGAATTTCTATGACACAATCTCCATCTAAAAGCAGAAACTGATATAAAATATAATAAACAGGCTATGATTGATTTTTATTATGATTTGGGGGAGAGAAAGGAGGGAAGGGATGGCTTCATAAAGGAAAAGAAATTTAAGAAAATCTTTTATGGATAAACAAGATCTCATCAGTTAAAAAGGAGGCTGGCATTCTAAGATGAGGGCATTGCAAAATTGTATTTCCTGTATTTTAAGAAAATTTACTTACATTTTAATATTTCTAAGACAGGGAGTTTCTTAAAATTGATATGTATAATTAATGTAGTGTTCCCAGTTATCTCAAAATATCTATTAAACTGATGATAAGTCTTACCAATTATGGTAAATTAGAATAAAGATTACCAGGTAAATGCATGACAGTAAGTGTATATTTAGAAAAAGCATATAGTCTGTTGTGGACTAAACTAGATTGCCAAGGCTTTTTTGGCTATTTGGATCACTAG